GCACATCCGCTCAAGGAAACAGTGCTAGCGAGAGGAAGGGGAGGAAAGTTGACAACTATGGCACATTTTTAGAGGCTCATTCTTATTTAGTTGCTCTAGGCTATTGTATATACCCATGACCAATGAGTATCATCGTATCCCACTAAGAAACAGAATCACATCCCAGAGACGGAAGAGTCTTGCGCACACACACCCACTTCCCATCTGAATGCATCATGTTAAGAAAAGGTAATAATCACTTATAGACGTGATGCTCAAGTCTTCTAGTGAGTAGATTTAGGGATAAAAAGGAAGAGGTCTTGCTGGACAGCCTTGTAAGAAGAGAAATTTACTCCAACTCACCGGCTAGTTCTGATATTTCTAGAGGAGGTGTGCTACCTGACATATATCGCCTTATACATAATGAATCTACTTTATGTAAAAGTATATCTACTTACACTTTGTATAAAAGTAGACCTCCCAGCCGTTGTGGTTTGGCCATTGCATCAACAAATTTATGATGAAATTTGCAGCTTGCAGTCCATCGACACACACAGACAGACAAAGGGAGTAAACTTGAGGGAGGGAGTGGGGACAATGTGGTGCGTGCCTCAGAGCTGTGGCTCGGGTGGTTAGGGAGTGGTGGAGCGTTAGTGGCTACTCAATGCTATATTCATCCGTATGACTGACGTTGCAATCCAAATGCACAACAGACATTTTTCACCATAGGTCCACAACGTTGCAGTGCGCTTTTATGAGGTACGTGAAGGAAGTGGGAAACTAATTGATGGTCTTGCATGCCTATTGTCATTTATCGTTGCACATGACTAGAGTTGGGCTCAAACCTTGACTTGGATCCAGACCCATACCCAGGTCCGCTCATTTGCTTACCTTTCACCACCACCGCCAAAACCAACACTACCACTTTGACATCAAAGACGATATTGGCGATGATGAAATCTACCCACCCCTTTGTCACTCATATTGGAGGATAAACATCACCGACAGATGTTCTTTGTACGTGGAGCCCGAGTTG